GATTGTCAAAGGGGCTGATACGGATAGCATGATCGAAAGCGGTAGCTTGATTTGTGGATAATGGTTTTTAGTCGATCAAATTGATTGCACAGCAACACTGGCGATAAATTAGTTTGTTATTTTAGCTCTAATCGCCCCTGATTTTCAATGTACATCATTTGCCCTTCTACATTTGGACTTCTACTCGATGAGTGCGTACGGAATTACGGAAACCGTGATCGCCGGGTATTACGGTATTTTTATAGGTGACTGGCCATTGCACATTTGGGGCTCTGCTATGTTTCAGAGTTTGCATGTGAGCGTATAGATAGCAGTGTTTCTTTTGTTCGCTCATTACCTACAAGTTACTTCGTTCCGGTTTCGCTGTCATGATGAGCGACAGTTACATTGGTTAGAGATAATATATAGGAGAGTGATATAGGTGGTTATTTTTTCTTGAGGTAAGTCCTGCGCTTCGTCTTCTCTATCGGGAAGCGAGGGGTCATCACTCATATGAGAAAATTTCAAGACTACCTCACTAGATGGAGCACATCGGATTTGCTGCTATCAAAAGGCAAAAGACCACACCGAACTAAGTTCAATACCGCATGGCTATGGTAGACTAGCAAGCTCAATCGATTGCTTATAACAGTATATTGTATTGTTCAAGTCGTGGCAGATTTGCTTCTTGCGGTTTAGCCGATACCGCAGAGCGACACTCAAGAACATATTACACATAGAGAACGGGCGGGCAAGCGGTCGGGAAGGCGAGTGAACGAACGGGAGAGTCCCGCGTGGGAGTTTGCTCGTGGTGGTGAAGAAGTGGTCCGCGAAACGAGAGGGGTGAAGCACGAACGGGTCAGGATTGAGGAGCCGACCGGGATGAATAGAAATGACGATGATGAAGTTGGATACGTTTGTGCTATGCGTATGGAAGAGCTTGCCTCTCTAGAACTCATAGCGGTGGCTAGATGAGAGCTTTCGTACTGTCTCTTTTTACTTTGGCAGCGATGTCTATCCCATTGGCGAAGTACCGAACGAGGGCGTCGGTGAAGGATTACTTCTCGGAACCGAAATGCCCACAAGCAACTTACGCTCCATGACCAGTATTTGATGAGTCAATGAACGAGTATAAATGGTTCATATAGACACATGCTGTTTATTTGAACCGGCGACCCTTGTGGTAGGGATGAGTGACAAAGGTTTTTGTTGGTTACTGCTAGCACAGGTATGGAAACGTTGGCAGGTAACTAGCTGTGCGTTTGAAAGATTGCATGTTTGTCTAAGTTAATCACGTTTAGTTTAAGTGGGCCAGCGAAATCATATTTGTATTTTCGATAGTTCGGGAACACTTCGCTCAAAAAATTATGATCACTCAGTAGTAATATATTATCGATTATTACCATGTTGCTTCTTCAAAGAAATGTATATAAAACGAATGTAATAATATTCTCCACCTTTTTTGTGCAATAGTTACACATGATTACCTTTGCTGTTCCATGTAGAAAATCTCAAATGGAATATTTTCTCACGAACTACGAGTGCCACTGAGATTGATCGTATAATCCAATGCTGGCAGGTTGCCATATGCCTGTACGTTGTTTGAGCCTACCTGTATTATGGATTTATCTAGTGTTTTACCAGGGATCGTTATCATAACCAACAGGAGCGTCAGAGCGACGTTTATGTAAAGGACATTACTTTTGTATAGAAACGCAAGTCAAACCCAGCGAAGAACGGTAGGTGTTTCGTAAGCCAACGTTGATAATGTGGGGGGCTGCGTAGCGTTCTCCACCTGATTATCGAACAGGAGCAATCTTGCTTGCTTCGGAGATGAAAGCTTCTTGTACGCAAACGTTCAGATCGCTGACTCACTACGTTATTCGGCAATTCCGCGTGTCCTTGTCCGTTATCATATAGTGGAGTGACGTCCTCTTCTTTAGCGGACACAGAAGGGGCACTTATAGAAAGGTATATGTACATTAGGCAAATTGCGAACGTTACGCGTACCATTGATATGCAATTGCCATTTGATCGAACTGGATTGTTACAAATGCAGCTGAGTCTGGCATTCCGTAGCCCGCACCGACGACCGTTGACTATTGCCTTCACTAAAGGACTATATGGCCAATATTTTCTATATCAGCAGCGGCCACCTACAGTATTATACACGCACACAACTGTACATAGATCCTCATGGATACACAGATATGTATGTATGTATGCGTGTGTTTACCGCATACGTACTCAGAACTTTCGGTCTTCCAGCAAAACCCTGTGGAGCTGTGGTAGAAAGAAAAGAGCAAAAAGCCACTGTCGAAACTCTGAAACGGAACAATATTAAGTAACCTTACATGCTCGATAATTTATGCAGTCTTATATTTGCGAACTTGTAAATAGAATGTGTTATTATTATCAAGTATGTCATACACGAACACTCATGTACATTTGAGCATATCTTTATGTCCATGCTATTATATAGTACATAGAGGTTTGTCAGAAATCGCCAGGAAACTCCGCCTAGCGTTGTTTCGTTTTGTTATCGCTGATTCCCGTGGCCGTGCTGGTGCTGTCAGTCCTTCGGCGAGATGGAGACTGCAAGATGAAGCAAGCAAAAGAGAGTGGTCCGCGACTTCGAAGAGGAAGTCCAGAGACATCATCCAACTGTTTCACATGACCAAGCAATCAGCTATAGTCACATCAGTCGAAACACTGAATCCGTCGAACGCGGCGGTGGCAACATGAGAATGTATTATGAAGTTCCGGCGTCTTTGTTATCGTAGAGAAAGAACAAGACCAGCCCGCATAAACGTTAGCGTCAGTCGTCAGTGGTTGCAAAGCAGCAATCGTAGGACGCATCGTCTGACCGCGAACGTTTCAGTAGCAATCTACATAAACTAGTCAACAACTGCCAACGGAAATTTCGCCAGCCATCGTTTTAGATATAATTAAATAGCTACATATCGCAATGAGTACGAGAAGAGTACGAGAAAAAGAGAGAGAGAGAGGGGGGGGGGGGGTAATACTGGTCGTGTCTTTTCGCCGCTTTTGTGAAAACTCATTCCACAAACGTGTCTGGGCTGGCGTAAATGCTCCACATTGGCGATTCGCATTCGGCCACTATCTACCATGCTTCATGGTGTTAATTTAGCAATTTGTTACTTCGGCATTTCTGCGAGGTTTTATACATGTCAATGCAGGCAATGTAAAGGTACTTGCAATGGTAGGTTGGTAAGCTTAGCATTGCAACAGTTGCGTAGACTAGGGGGTCGTCCCGGTCTGGATTTCCTTTTTCGCTAAAGAAGCAGATGAACAGCGGTCTCTGGATGGGGTCACTGACTCCTGCCGCTACATGCCTCGTTCAGGGGGTCTCGCAATCACTGATGTCGCTTCGCGTTTTTTGCTCCCGTCTAGTCCTCCTCCATATGTAACTGATTTCGAGGATCTGCGTTTGCCGTTTGTTAGCAGCGGCGCTCGTGCTTGTTGGTAATTGCGTACGAATAAGTTGATGCAGCAACAGTAGAGGCTTGATCTATGCAGACTGTTAGATCAAGTTAAAGCTGGCTGAATCGAGTATCAGATGGCGGATGGAGTCGTTGACCATCAAACCTGAAATGGAAAAATGTGTCGTCCAAAAGAACGAGCTTCACAAAAAAAAGGGAAACACAACAAACGAAAAATCGATAACCATAGAATTCCCCTTCCATTTTCCTGCTTTTGTTCGTTCTTGAAAACCGGCACCACCCCCCCCCCCCCCCCCAGCAGCAGCAAAAAGGCTACAACAAGAGGTATCCTATCCATCAATCAAAGATCTTTGCGCTTCAAAGTTTTGTGTTAGCCATGCGACGTGTTCTTCTCCGTCGGTCGAGTCATCAGCGGTATCAGGTCAAAATTTTTTTCCTACACGAAACCGGTATGGAGTTGAATGAGCAATACCAACTACGCCACATGTGCGTTTCATGTGGCCTAGAGCCGCAATTACTGAACAGACAACGTTGGGCCGGAAAACACGCAGGCAGTGACGCAAAAAAGTGGCGAACAACAGAGCTGCAGGAGTAATAACAACTGGCCGAGTTGTAAGTGGCATGATGTGTGTAAGATCATTCAAAAGATCAGCTGAGCTTGCCGCAAAAACGCGTAGCAATTTCGCGTGTTCTGAGATATACAGTAGTTTTAATGGCAGAAACGAACTGCATCAAATCAGTAGAGTTATCGCTGTTGCTGACGCCATTTTTTTTTTTTTTTTTTTGTTCTTTTGCCGTGTCCAATTTAGATTGTGCAGGATGTGACGCCGGCAGCACAGCACTCCCCCGCCATATCATCAGATATGCAACCTATTTCATGTCTTGTCACTGCCGATGCTGACGCTGAAACGTTGCAATGATTATATGGATGCTCTAGCATCGACCTATTGGCATATACTTCGCCGTGAGACGCTGCTGCTATTCGATGGTCGAGAAAAGAACACGGCTGACCATCGAAATCTTGATTGTATCAGCATCGCTCTATGCTTATGTAGTCGAAGAATGATCTCTAGCCACGAATTACTTCTGACGGACGAACTAAATCACTCTAAATATTATGATGATCGTTGACCGAACACAGGTGTTAGCCTCTATACTTCAGCAGTGGAAGTCGAAATATGTGTAACCTGTTTGTCAATGGTCAAAAACGTTTGAAAAACATTGAATTTGTACGTTTAGAAGGTGATTTAGTCAACAATCAACTATTGATATTAGTGAATAAATGGTTCGGTAATAAAAGCATTGAAAAGTTCGAATATTACTAACCTTCTATATTGCATTTGTGATACCCTTTCTACGTTACTTGAAGTTAATGCTTCAGCTGCGTGACGCGTTTACATAGGTTTAGTGTGCATATATCTATATTTAATATATCCGTATATATATACACCGTGTGTTTAACATATCGGTATGTTTGTCGTACGGCCTACCTAAATACAAACTAATTTGACTCTTTTTTTTTTTTCATTCTATTGTGCCATTGGTCTACCCTTTCAGACTACTCCAGCAGCAGATCTCGCAACATCAAATCAACTCTCTACCCGGTGGTCCGGGTTCGAGGTCGTCGAATGGGCTGAATAAAAGATCGCCGGCGGAATCCCTCGGCCTGCCCGGCGCAACCTCTCTCGCGGACGATGCTTTATCTTCTTGCGAGGGCGACGGTTCGATGGACGATGCAACGTCGCGGCCAACATCGCCGTGCGGAGCGCTAAGCAGCTCGAGCGGGTCGCCCGCCCCGTCCCGCAGCCCTAGCCCGAATCCAGGCGGAGGGCCTCCGATCACCTGACGGTCCGGGAGCCCTGCGTCGGCTGCGCAGGGTCTTCCCGCCTCTGGGCCTGCTGCCACCCATCCCGGCCTGTCTCTGCCGAGTTCATTGTCCTCCCTATCGGGTCAGCCTCTTGGCCTCCCATTCGCACCTACGCCCCGCTTCCCATCGGGCCTGTCACCCTTCGGGGCGGTCACAGCCCCAAACCCGTCAGAGGCGTCCTCGCTTGTTCCGTCGTTCGAGCAATATCTGCAATACCTCTTCATGCAACTGCCGCCGCCACCCGGCGGTATGCCAGTCCCGTCCGCAATGCCCCCCGGCACTGTACACCCTGTGACGGCAGCAGCGACCAGCCTCAACGCGGCAGTCGCTGTCAACGGCCACAGCCTGCATGGCCTTCCCGCGCCCAAATTCCTGCCCAGCTCACTCTCGATCACGCCCGTCAACCACGGCGGTCCGCTATCGGGACTACCAAACAAAACGGAATACAAGACAGAATCGTCGGATGTGCATTCGCCAGACTCGACAAACCCTCCACAGACGACCGTCCTGCCCTCGGAAACTACCAAAGTGGAGGACACTGAAACGATTGTGCAATAGAACTTAATCGAAGCAATGAGTATGAGACAAACGCGGCTGCGAAATGCTGTAACATGAGAGATATGAAAAAGAGAAAACATGTGCTACGAAGTTGGACTACTAAGTTTCTGGCCAAAAAGGATTCCATGCAACTCGGGCAGTGAGGCCCGGTTCAGCTTATTTAACCCATCTCATTACTCTCGTTTTTGTCACACATTCTCGTTTCGACATATGTATAAATATCGGCTTCTCCAGTAGTGTGTTTCTGTTTTCAAGGACATAAACACACATACGTAATGATTAATAAGTGGCTCGAAATAATAATAAAACGAATTAAAATAGGGTGGACTTTATATAGAATCGATTAGACGACGCCGCATTTCATTGCAACGTGTTCGCGTGCCACATAGAGAGCTAGTAGGGCATGCCGCGAGTGGCCAGTATGTAAACAGAAGCCTTCTTCCACTCACCGTTCGCTCCGCTATACAATGGATACCAGCGCGAATGTGATGTACGAACGCCAAAGAAAGAATTTGACGAACTGGACCCATCTGGCGTATAGACTTTCTCTATCAAAGAAGGGGGCATCGTTGAATGAAGGCCGAAAAAAACCTATGAGACCGGGGAAAAGTGATGGGCAAGATGTTTAGATGGCCTCCGGGGCTTCCTTGTAAACAACGTCCATTTCACTGGTCAGCAGTCCACGGACGGTCTCCGAAAAATCTACGATTTCACGACAACAAGTCCTCTGCCAGTGCACAACCTATCCTTGCGTGTTACGTGGAAGGCTGTAAGAGCTTCGACAGCCGCCGAACAGAAATGAAGTGCCGCTTGGGTAACTCTTTGATAAGAACAATATGGAGCAACAAAAGTAGTCGACATGATGTGGAGCGTTATCCAGTTTAGCACCGAATAACGACACACTTTCGTTGATAATGAATCCACCACGACGTACACAAAGATCCTGTTGGCAAGAGGGACTCAAGTTCGGAGCGCCTCCCTTTATCATAACATTATTATTAAGTAATACAAGGGAAACGCGTGATCAAGCCACACCAATGTAAATATCCTGTAGCATATTCTTATGGAGTACTTCAATGATTGGTCAATCATTAATTGGTAATATATATATATGTGTGTGTGTGTGTGTATTGTATCATGGCTATTATGATACAAAGAATTGTGCTTATTACATTACAAGCTATATGGAGACAAATATATTAAACGATGATAAAATATAATGAGTGATGGTGATGATGCCAATACATATATATATATATATATAAAGTGAATAAAATGGCCACATCTCTGGTTTTACTTTCTAGTCGCATAATCTTTAAATGGCTCGCATGGGCACTTTTCACAGGAAGTAACCATCTGCATATAAATACACACAAAGAAAGATGAGAATACATTATTATATGAAAAGTCGAAGTGGAAACACGAAATCAAGTAAGCAAAACACACACGCTTGGACAAAGCATATAATGCATTATGTGTATATATACATATATATACACACACACGTATTCTAGTTGTACATATCAGGTCTCAACATCATGCGAAGAAAAAATGTTGAGTGGACTTGAGCGATTGGGTGTGCAAAGCAGACGACGGACGCCGGACACGGAGACGAAAAAATTCAGGCACTCTTCAACCCGTTATGCATCCAAACATTCATTCAAACATTCACATATGGTATACTATGAGAGTATCGATTATCGATGTTTGTGAGCACGGCAACCCTAGCCAGTCCCTCGGGGGTTCATCTATGAGCGCTCGCAGGTGTCATCGGGCTCGTTGGATGCGCCACCAACGTGTATGTACACATGCAATAAAAGCGCGCCCTTTTTTGAAAAAAAAAAAGGTCTTTGTCACAGAAGAGTTGGATGATGAGAAAAGGGAACGACATATGATTATAATAGTAATAATAATAATGATAAGTGAACTAGGCAAGGGATAGGTGGAATTAGAAGCATTTTCTATGGTGGTGTATAACCAACCATCTTTTTCCCTCATACACACAACAAGTAACAGTAATATGAAGAAACGAAACTCAGCGTTAGAAAAGGCAGCAGATGGACAGACGGCTGAACGATAGGATGACAATTAACTATGGGACGGAAGACAGACTCAACTGAACAATGATAATAAAAAATAATGCAAAGGAAAATAATTATGATTGCGATGATGATGATGATGATGATGATGATGATGATAATAATAAAACCTGATTGCGAGCCCCTCTCCGCACTTTTAACAAACGAGTTAAGTTTAAGTTGTGAAGAACCAGACAGATAAACAGGCCGACCATAATAATAAGCTCACCGTCATTAACACGAGCGCATGTAAAGGAAATCACCCTGTTACAGTGTTAACGAAAAAGATGATGAGGAAGAGACATCTCCATAATTCTAAATCATGGTATTACCAATCACAAGTTCTCCCATTTACTTAATTCAATCACACGACACGAAGTAGTGTATAATAACTAATTAAGTATAATGATATTAATAATTATAATCCTTAATAGTGACGGATGTATAACGAGATAATTACTATTATAAATACACATCAATTTATTTACATACACACACATACACGCTGTACGTAATAAGAAAGAGATATCATTATAATAAATAGCAACGTATTCTGACGGAGCGGGGAAGCGAAAATCACACGTGTAGGTTATTATTATTATTATTATTATTCTATTCCAATTTACACCGGTATACATTCGCCGCCAATAGGACTATGTGCTATCAGGGAAGTGGAGCAAAGACTCTGACGACGCACACGAGGCGGCCATTTCGAAAAAAAAAAAGGACGAAAGGAAGAAGGAGAGAGGGTCACGGATGGAGGCAAAGGACGCTGAGATCAATAAATAGACAATTTAGAGTTGAACCCGATGAGTGTGCTTTTTTGGCAAACGAAAGATCAGGGCAGAAGGAACTTCCGAGGTAGAGAGTTTGCAAAGGGTAGATACATGGGATAGTCGGAAGTAGCCAGGGAGGCGAAGCTAAAAGTAACGGAGCAGTTGAGAAATACATGAAAGTTTTGGACAGAATTCAAGGCTGTCCGAGCGGCCTGTAGCAAAGAAGATTGCGGGGGCCAATAGAAACGCGGCCGAATAGACGAACGATACAGGGATACTATTCGGCGAAATGGAATATAATACAGAAGAACGGAGCGGCAGCGTGACAACACGATTTAGTACAGAATTGAGTAATCTCATCTAGCCAAACAATTTGACTTCGTAGGTTTGCTAATGGCGGCGAGGCCTGGTCGATGAATAGATGAAACGTGTGTGGAGAATCCACTGATAAAGTGACTTATCCCATGATTATTGTGTAAATCTTTTGTGATCCATTGACATCTGCATAAACAAGAGCAAATATATATATACATGTATATAAAACTTGAACTTATGAGGCTTAGTGCATCTTGGGATATAAATAAATGTAGCAGGATAATTTTCCACTCGTTCTGACCTAGCAAAAGGCTGAAACAAGGAAAAGCAGACTCAAATGTTCCTTTCAAGATCGATTCTTTTTCATAAAATACATACAAAGTAAGAGAATACTATACAAAGTATAGATGCTGTCATAGATATTGTTTCAAATCGAGTAGTCACACATGTTTCGTCACATAGAAATTAATATGCAGGTAAAAATGGACAGGGTTTACTTGAGATCCGATATGTTCAGCTAAGTATCGGCAACTTCGAAATATTTCATGGCTGTGGGAGCAATCAGCATATAAACGAAGGATCTGTTGAAAAGTAGTTCAATTCGCTAAGTATCAACTGAGGACTTCACGAAGTGGGGCTCACCAGGCGAGAAATGAGGTCTATGCTCTGGAGTGGCGATGTACTTGGTATTATAAAGGACCTGTTGGTTCTTATGCCCTCAGGGCGCTCATGTCATCAGCTACCCGAGGTGCTTGACTAGCGTGGCTGTTATTGCAAATAGTGGTCTGCGACAAAGCAGCTACTCCTTACTGCTATTATCTGCATTATCCGGTCTCTGATGGCAGGGCCTGTCCTTCTAATTTAGATGCAAGTTTCACGCGGCCTGGGGTTACTTATCGTTGTAAGCGCAGTTATTTCTGATTCTAAAATTAATATCATTTAAGCCAGGTGTTGATTGCTATTTAGTCTGTTCTTTGTTAAAACGGTATAAGGGCTAAAAATGAATTCATGATGTGTTGCTTTTACAGCCGCAACTGTTTTCACCTATAACCTGCAATTGGAAAAAATTGAGCTATTAACCAAATAAAATATACCAGTGTGCCTTTAATAATAATAATAAAGAATTTTGCGCCCTAAGCAGAAATAACGAGTAAGATTTTATACAGTTTCTTATTAGTGTACTCGACCGGGTAAGTATCGAAAACCCAAGTGATAGCTCTTGGTTATCTCTTACTAAGTACCAAAGTGGGTGAAAAAATGATATAGACATTTTTAGAAAAGCAATAATTTTGGCAGCTTATAGCTTATTATAATTAACATAATAATTTTGGTGACTGTGTGTCTATCCATGCACATATATATAGCTGGTAGAAAAAGCAACGGCAATTTTTTAGGAGTTCTCTTTACCCTATATTTTCTCATTGTTTATGTATTCCTATTGGCCACTCGATGTCGTAAGTGTTATATGCGAGTTATAATTTTGTTATTTGGTACGGTTCATCTCGTAACGGATATTTGGGTGAACAAACGGGGTTTTCATTACTTGTTTCACTTCGCCCTTTGCCCTATCGCAATAGCCCAGCATATCTGTGCCCCGTGCAGTGTGGAGGGTACTTCTAGGCTCAAAAATGGCATCTTGGCTTGGAAGATTCACTTCGCTTTAGCCATCCGGGAGCTGATGAAGACTACCTAAAGACAGAATTATTGCGGGTAACAAGAAGTGGTTTTGTTTCAATCAATGTGGTTTAGAAGAGAAAAAAAGGTGACTCCGCGAAACGTATACAAGCCCAGAACTAAATAATAACCCCAAAAAAAATCCACATGATACTCTTGGTGTGTGGGTATAAAAACTCCCCGATTTTAATGGAGGTTTATTTATAAAGTTAGCAAATGCTAACAAACAACATTTTATTATTTACAAGAAACAATAGCAGAGATGAGATTGCTCGAATGGTTGCTGCATCAGCAAGTTCAAATGTTCCCTTCAAATGACCAGCGTATTTCTAGATTTCGTCCCTTTAGGAGTAACTGTCCTGTTAGACGTCTATTCGTTTATGGCATCAAAAGCTCTTAAAAATCTCTCTCAGCTAATTATCATAGCAGAGATTTATTATATGAATAAAAATAAAAATGTAGCTTGTTGTGTATTGATTTATAATAGCAAAGTCTGTTGAATTTTACGGGTCAAGCTCATTAGTCGCACTAGTCACATGTTTTAATAACTCTGTAACAATTTTGAAAATATAATTTGGCTTTGCGAACTTTTTTTCTAAATTATTACAACTTTGTTTGATATTTTATCTATGAATCCCGGACACGTCTCTGCTTATCTGAATTATCAAACGTCTTTTTAAAAGCAAAAAATGACTTCCTTTAATACGATCCTCATCTCAATGTTAAGTTGTTTTGGAGAAGGATTAACAAGGCTTAAAAGTTAAGTCCATCGATGTTTATGCTGATGCGCTATTTTACTCCGACACAATCTATTGATGATGACTTCGATAACAATATCGCTAAGCTTCTGCGGAAGGGGGAACAGCACCCACCAGGAAAAGAGCTGTTTTTTGTTGTCATCAAGTCTTTGCCGTCTTTTTAGTCATTTGCAACCGAAAATTTCGAATTTCGCGGGTCGCGTATTGGTCGACCGACCCCCTGCGTGTTCACTAGCTTTACTTAGACGGAAGCGCGGAGCAGTTTCCATAGCGAACAATGCAGTAAACCAGTTAACATTAAAGTTATCACGTCATAAATGCACCGGAAAAGTTGTCGATTGCCAATGGTGTCTATAATGTGATGGGTGGTTCTAATCCGCTTTGGGTGGTGTGTGTTTATTGAGATAGCGATGGTTAAACGTTCAGCAGCTGTAATTGCACGTTGATGCGTTTCATGGTCGTTGAACCTGAATGTCCAATGAGAGCTATGTTGGTATTTCATCGACGAAGAAGCTACAGGTCGATACATGGTCAGCGTATACGTGACGCATAGAAGCCGAAATTGTTTATGAGCTTCGAAGTTTAACATTATGCCAACACATCAGCTCGAAGTATTATAATTATTGTTATTGCAATGACAATGGTGGCTGTTATTATTGTTGACTGGGTCAAGTATTTCTCACAGACTAAATAGGAGTGTTGTCTGTAAACTTGTTCCAGAAAGAACTCTCATTGGCTTCGGTGGAGATATTTATCGGCTGAAAAATTTGTATAACTTTGAAACTCTGCATCATCACCAGGAAAATTTGGTCCATATATATCCAAATATATCCGGTCTTTAGTTATCTACGCTTGGAATCTGATTGAGCATCATCAGAAACTAAATAGTGGGTTTAGACGTAAAATGTCACTTAGCGCAGAAAATCAGCGCTCAGCAATTAGGTTTTTGTTTTTCGAAATTGAGCGCGTTGATGGAATCCCTTGAAGTTTGGTTTTTTAAAAAACGACAATTCGTTCTTTTTAGTGGGATCGTTTGAAAAACGTAAATCGGTGAGTCGAATGCCACAGAAGACGTAATCACACTACCAGACAGGAGAATAAGTTGTCATGATTAGGAAAACATTTTGGTAAAACAAAGCAGGTACAAAACGCTACCTATCAGCTCAATAGGGTCGCCTTCAGAGCACCTGTTATGAAGATGGAAAAACATAAGTGACAAGTGGGCTTCATGGAAGTTGAGTTCAAAACGGGTAAACTCATATGTGATGCGTTCGAAAGAGACCTTGCACAATTATTACGTGCCGAAAAATATGTGTGGAGCATATCGTTGCCATAAACGAGGCATGGGTCAGTTTGTGTCAATACAAGGAAAGGGTTAAATGAGAAGATGGTGCCGAACGTAAAAAAAGCGGCTTTAGGAAAATACAGAACGGATTCTGACGTAAGCGGATGCTTGAACTTGTAATAAAGGCTAGAGAATTTCTTATTATGAAATCTTGCCCGAAAAAAAATGGCCTCGATCGAAAAAAACAGAACCAAGTAATGAGTGCAGTCTTCATTTCAAGTTGCCCGTTTGCTTTAAAGAAGACGATAGGTGGCATAGCCTGTCTTACTATTGATTCTCTTAAGCAAGCCGTCGACAACGAGATTATACAGGGTACTGCAAATCAAAAGTATAAAGCTGTTGAGATGCTCCCAGGACGCTGGCTTCAATAAAAAAGAGAGTACGTGTAACGTATATCAAAGTATCGTTATTCCAACTTATATGATTTAAGAATTATACTGAACAGTTAAATAATAGCTCTGGACACGCTATATATTCAAAACATTCAAAATTGAAAAGTTTTGTGGGTTATTTGTTGTAATGGGCATGCGTTTGTCCGTTGCGCCTGGTATTAGACAAAATCCAATTGTTCTTAGAACGTACTACAATAAACAATACTTATACATAGCACACGTTATTGATAAATTACATTTTTCTTAGAAAATCGTTTTCTTAGAAATCATAATGAGATAAAGAATAGTAAGGCAAACCAGCCTCAATAGAGTTCAGTTTAAGAATGTTTGAAAATAATAAAAATAAAATTTTTTAGGCCATTAGACGGAAATTATTAGCTATCATGGACAGGAAAGTATCAACTGCTAGTAGGGTCGTTCAGATAAGCTTTAACGGTTTCTGTAACTTTTTGTGCTTTTTTAACATTTTGCTCGTTTTAAGACCTTGACCTTTCGAGATC